AGCTCGTTGGCGTTTAACATGTTTGATCATGGTGTAAGCTCCGTACTCTACAGGCGGCCGATGAATGGTATAATTATGCTCTACGAGTCTAGAACAATTACAGCCTGATTAAAAATTGATAAAGAAAACATCTTTCTGTACCGTCTGCCCATGTCGTCGTCTTCACCACCCCACTGCCAAAACATATTGCTAAAGCCATTGACACTTTTAAAATGATAAGCACTCAATGCCAGTACACCTCCGACCAGATCGTAATATGGAAGCCTGAGAATCAAAAGATAATGAAACTGCGGACCCAATAAGAACAAATCGTCGCAACCTTACTCGTAGCCTAGAGTGCTTACGTAAGCGCCGAGATGGAGTGGTGAATCAGCGCAAGAGTACAAGTTGCGATCATCTTGAGGGAACAGGTCAACGTCATGGAAAATGACGCAGTCGACGTGTAGAGCGTCAGCCAACGTAAAAGCTGCGTTCATAATACGGCCTTTGTTGAACACACCTTGACCGTACTGAAATTAAACGAAATACGCACATTACTTAGACAAAAAAATGAGTGTCATAACAACAGTGCTCCTCAGTCAGTTATCCTCCAAAAAGTAGTGACTGAAAGGGAATGGGTCGTTTCAACAACTGCCACAAGACTTTTTGCCACGTGCCACCGCTGCTATTTAGAATAGCGTAAAAATTCAAACCTGATTTACTGCAAAGAGACAGGGTATTAAGCTAAAGGCAGACTTTAAAACTAATCAACTGCGACAACATGAGACTACCTGCTCGATAACGAACGAGTCCGGATTGAACTTGTAAGTGCATGAAAAAGTTCAAGCCCCCAGGTACTCAGCAAAAGTAGTGAGGCACGAACTAGTAATCCATACGCAGCGCATAAGACGCGAAATCTTCAATTATACATAGCCTAGCACCACGAAACATTGGTTTAGGATGAATTATGCACAAGTTTTACCGACAACATTCGAAGTGTTTATTGTGATATTTAATTTGAGCAAGAAAGCTGTATTTTCTAGGGGTTTTGTTTTCTCATTAAACCATTAAAAATTCGATATGCCGTGAAATCCGCTATTGGAGGAGTCATGTGGATACACCTGGCATATTATATGTTTTATATACGGTACAAGCTATATACAGGGCATAGCTGTTATAAATAGAATATACTAAAAGATCTTTAACGAGCAGAGACATTGATGAAATACTTGATGTCTCAAGCCTAACGTGCCAGTAGAAATCTCCGGTATAATACTGATACTGCATACTGCTAACTGAAAAGAGGACCTCACGTCAACCTCAACCTCAGCAAATCAGCCAATACAGAATATCGAGTTACTGAAGAGAATGTCAAGGGGAAGTAAATAAAAGTACAGACCTGTTTCGAAACTGAAATAACGAAGTTATGGATAACAGCGGTTACAGAATAATAGATCCCTCTCTGCCTCTAAGAAACGTTTGTCTAAGAGAAGGTATGCCAATGAAATCATGAGCAGAACAAATGGAGATGAAGTAGAAACCATTCTATTTATTTCCGGGAAAAAAATCAGAAGTTTTTCCTCACGCAGTCAATAGTAATAAGTGGAAGAGATCAATGCGCAATGATTTCGCAACAGCTTAGCTTCTTCTAACAGTATTACTGTTTCATTTAAGGCCATTACTTTAATGTATTTGTTACACCTTGTTGCAGGTCGTGATGCATCTCGCCCCCCCCCTCCCCCGTAAAATATATACCTCAGCTGACACACAGAAAAACTCGCATTACCACAGACAAACATTACGTACTACCAAATTTTCACAGATTGATGGTTCAGCCGAACGGCAAAGAAGAATTTCATATTCTATGGAATCATAAAGAGACAGGAAACACTGACGCTGCGCTTTAATTTGAATTCACATTCTGATATGAAAACGAGATTTTTAACAACAGAAATTACTGTAAACTGCACGTAAGTAGTAAACCATCGTTCATTTAAAGGATTCAACATATACTGACCATAAGGTTAACAGCAATCACCTGTTATTGATATCAAATAAAACAGTACTGCTGGCGATAATACTACTTTGCAAGTGATGTTGAAATACAACGGTTATATCAAAATATTCCTCAATGTTTTTTTACTCACCTGTTCAGCAACAATGAAGCGAAAATCAAGGCGCTGACGTTGCAACACAGGAATCAGATAGGCCAGTAATCGCACCAAATGTGACTTCCGGTCGCGGTAAGGGATAACGATAGCAACCTAAAATAATAAGTTAAGGCTGAAAAATAAGCGAAATCAAAAGTTTACACTCTGACTATCATCAGCATTTTGTGATTTACTGCCGGATGAAGACCCTTCAGAGGCTTTGCTAGAGAATTCTGCCACTTTCATTCGTCTTGATCGAGAGAACTTCATCAGTTCATCCTGTCATCGATCTGAAGGCCTCCCATGACACAGTCTAATGTCTCTCTGGTTAAGAGATAATGGATTCTTCTTGCAACGTATCCCGCCACTGCCACTTTAGCTTCTTCATTCGGGCAAAGACTTCGCAGACTCGTGTTTGTGTGCTGATTCATTCACCTGTTATCTTGTCTTTTCATTATTCGTAACATATTTCCATAATGAGTTGTGTAGTCTGAAGCTGATGAATAATTTTCAGGTCTAAAGCATACGTTTCGCATCTATATGTTAGCAATGGGAGCACACAATGATGGAATAAATTTTGTCTAAAGCACAAACGCGGTCAGCTGGAGAACAGCATTTTCGGTTCTTCCAAAAATGCTTCATATCACTTTATTCTTCTGCTAGCTTCACATAGCCCATTCTCTATTGCAGAGGTAAGCTAGAGGTAGATTTGCACTTTTAAGTCTGTTGACTTCAACAGGTCACGCGGCAACGTACTTCTTAAACATGATCTGGATCTTCTTCAGGTTCATTTTTAGTCTTACTTTGATAATGGAGTGGTTCAGCTCCTGGAATCTTTTATGGAGCTCTTCTGGTACCATTGAAAGGATCAGAATGCCAAATGCAAACCGCAGATAGCCTAAGCAGTGCAGATTTATGTTCAGCCCCTGATATTCTCAACCGAGTGTCTTGAAAACCTCTTCCAGGACGCTGTGAATAAATTCCATGATATTGCCTCTCCCTGTCAAATGCCCATTTTTATTTTGAACTTAGTTGTGCTTTCGTGAAGCTTCACACTAGCAGCTGCACTATTGTAAATTATGGCGATAAGGTTTACGTCTTTTCTCCATTCTCTCGTTTATCAAGGAATCCAGCAAAGAACGGAGGAAAACAGAGTCGGAAACCTTCTCAAAGGTGTCGAACTCCAGACAAAAAGAAAGCGGGCATTTCACTTCTTAAGCAAGGAGTTGATCAAGGCTGGACCTGCTAGCTCCTTTCGCTGTGCAGGGCTCAGTTTTTCATGAAGTCTGTTCGTCAGATTCTTCCCCAGATCTTGTAAGTGGTTGGTAACAAACTAATCAAACCTTAATTCCCGCATTCCTCTCTGCCTTTTATTTTGTGGAACAGAATTACTGATGCGGTGGTCGAATCGCCTGAAATTCTAAGGTCCTTCAGATCACGTAAAAAGAAGTGCCCTAATACCTTGGTCCATGCTTCACCTGCTGATTCCAGAAATTCCATTGTAATGTCGGCTTTCCAGGAGTACTTTTCGCTTCGCTTGCCTTATCGTACGTCGCACTTCCGGCAAGATATCTGGAGTTTCATCAAGTTCATTTGCATTCTCAGGCTTCGATCGTCACAAAGGGTATTTCCGTATACATCTTCGTGAAATATTCTTAAAAATTTTTCAGTCTTTTTAAACTCACTTCTCTGTCCCTGATGACTGTTCCGTCTTCTAATCTGAGAGCTAAGATTTGTCGTTTTTCAACCGCCATTTTTGCCACTCTTTCGTTTAATTTCTTCCTACTTCGGTTGTTTTCAATAGTATAATTTACCAATCTGCAATTCCATTCTGCATGTTTGGACGTTTCCTTCTAAGCGTTTTCCTTCAAATTTTGCAACGTTCCACGTATTTCATTTTTAATACCTGATCTTCTTTGTTTTCTTTGT